GAAGCAGTTCCGGGGCGGATGACGTATGAGGTCAGCGCTGCGCATGCGCCGGTGAGTCTCGTGAAGACCAGCTTTTGTTAACAGGAGTAAAGGAAGCAAAGTTTCCTTACTTTAGCAAAGGAAAACCAGTCTCCTCTTGGCTTATATCGAAATCCTCCGACATTCTTCTTTACAAATCCTCGTTTTGTACTTCTAATTAGTGACCGTTGTTTTGTTTTGATCTCTCCCCTTCGCTTCCGTGTGCGTCACTTCTGAGCGGCGCATGCGCAAAGCCCACCTCCATACATCATCCGCCCGGAACTGCTTCTGGGTACAACAGTGAGCGCAAGCTACATTAAAGTGGTTATTACGTTTTGAATATGGATATTTTTCTTACAAAAATGCATAGATTCGCTACAGAAGGCCTTTGTTCACCCCCCGGAGCCGTGTGAGACACTTTTTTTTTATGGATGGGCGCTTTTTATTTAACTTCTTTTGGACTGATGCATGCAACACCCGCTGAGTACCATAAAACAGCTTGAAAGATCAAAGACAATTTTGAATATAACTCCGACTGGATTCATCTGAAAGAAGAAAGTCATATACACCTAGGATGACTTGAGGGTGAGTAATTTATGGGCTAATTTTCATTTTTGGGTGAACTAACCCTTTAAACTAAAAACGAAACTGAAAATATCAAAATACAATTCTAAATATAATAGTATATAAATAATATTAACATAAAATTAATTTGAAACCTAATGCACCAATTGAAAACAAAATTTTACAGCTGGTGAAAACTGTAATAAGGATGCAATAGACATTTAAACCGAATGGTCTGCAACTCAAATCCACATGCTCTCACACTCTACCACATTATGAGGCTGTTGTCACTGTAGTGTGCAAATTATTATGCGTTGCATCACTTAGGCATCAACTTTAACGTTCTAAAAGAAATAGACATGACTTGTTAAACTAGCAGTTGAATTGAGCTGCATCTGTTTGTATCGTTACAATGTGTTAACTTGTGTTTGTTTGCTGTTTACCTTTGCAGGCCATCACACCCAGGTGTCACAGTGCCCTCCCAATGAGTTTGAGTGTCGAGGAACAGATGTGTGCATTCACCTGAGCAAGCTTTGTGATGGCATCCCAGACTGCTCGGATGGACGTGACGAGGGGCCGCACTGTCGAGGTAACATGCGTGCAGAAAAGGGATGTGCATCTCCATGACTGAGGCTGATACGATACGCATCTCGATGCATAGTCAACGATACGATACATTAAAGATACATATGAAGCAGCTACCGATGCGATGCGATACAATTGACCCCTATTACGATGCAGTGCGATCCGATTCCGATTCGATTTAACACAATGCGATTCGATGCAATATGATGCAATGGAGAAAATATGATCACTTTTAATGCCTCGAGGCCTGTTTCATAAAACAAGTCATATAAGCCAGGCTTATTTCAGTTATTACCACTGTCTCACATACTATTATTTGACTTTTTTTTTTTTTTACTTTTTTTTTTGCAGTTTCTAGCCGTGCAGCCTTTCTCTCTGGTTTTATTACAGCTGTACCCTTTATAGTTTTCAGAACAGAGAACATTAGAACATTACAATCTAAAATTGCTCTTTAAAGCATTAACTTCTACAAAAGACACATTTAATGTCCAAAAACAAATGTTTTAGCGAAATGTATATTTTACTCGGAATTATTGCACTCCTATTCGATTGTGCTCTGTCTGTTTAGCGCGCATGCGCGCAGCAGCACTCTTCACTCGCATCAGCCTCGCCCACCCCTGACAGCAAAATGGATATGTTTGCATGACTTTCTAACATTTACAGATGAAAAATATACCTGTGACATGTCAATTATGCACACAACGTCTCAAATGCATTAAACAGCAAAGATATATTCGCTGTTTGTCATGGTGGATCGATTAGATCCATGATCGACAAAAAGCGGAGAAATCAATCTACATATAAAATATTGGTCACTTGGTCAAATAATGAAAGTATAGCGTATCCACTAGTAATTATATATAAATGAATCGGTTTTTACCGATGCAAATATGTTAGAAACGATGCATCGCGATACAAATGCCAACTTGTATCCGATGCACACTTTTTAAACCGATGCATCGCATCGTTAACTGTTTATGCCGATGTACTGAGCGAATCGGGGAATCTTCCCATCCCTAGTGCAGAAGAACGCAGTCTGATCATGAACCAGAGGCTGAACTAACTTACTTATTTTTCATCAAGTCTTTTCTTTTCTTTGTCAAGTTGAAGTTGGGAATGGGATTGATGTGTTCTCTACAGGTCAGTTTCCACTTAATCAGTGCTAGTTTTAGTTAATACTGTCAACCAGTATGAGAGATTCTTGGTCCAGCTGATGAAATCATCACCATCCCAATCGGACCTGTGTGTATGTCCTTCAATCAAACAATCTTACATTTGTTGACAGTGAAAGTCTTTTTATGACTTGCAGACTTAATTTACTTTTCAGTGGTGTTCTGTCAAATACATAAATATAGCTGTCATATCTGCCACAGATAAATGATATATATGGCACAGATTAACCTTTGTCAAAATGGTTGTGGCTTGGAGTGGCTTTAGGCTGAAATACACTAGAGGACTATAAAAATCTTAAAATATTTTAAAACACTAGGTATTGATTACTTTGTATATGCTTACAGAGGAAAAACTTTGCTTTATACATTAATCCTTCTACTGGATGTGATCATAGTCCAACGTTAACAAATCAGAGTCTGTGCAATTTTCAGTCAACTCCGACTGGCAAAAATCTGTTGACTAGCTCTGACTTTAGGAAACTAGTTTTTACTCTTCCAGAATGTAAATCTGGGCAAAAGTCACAGTGTATTCCAGCCTTTAATTAATTTTGGAAGCATTATTTACAATATGGTGGAAATTATATAACAATATGTAAATAATAATATTATTTAAAATAACATGTAATATTATAATATATTGTTCTTCATTATATTCCAGTGTGAAATATTATTTTCTATTTTAATATATTTCAAAATATAATTTATTCCTGTGATAGCAAAGCTAAATTAGCAGGCAGTACTCCAGTTTTCAGTGTTGCATCATTGTAATTATTTTAATATGATGATTTGCTGCTCAAGAAACATTTCTTCTTATTATCAATTATTTTTTTTTCTTATATATTTCTTCAAAATGTGTTTGCCTTTTTTTTTCCTTTGTTTGTGTGGGTGGAGAAAAATACCCTCATTTGTACACTTTTCACAAATCGAGTCAAATCCCAATGGATCATATCCAGTCCCACTCTACATTATCTCACAATTAATATGTTTCCATTTGAAAATGTTACAGTACTTGGGTTTACATGAGTTTATGATTTGCAAATGCTGTCTAATGTTGACTTTGACAATTCAATAAAAATATTTTCATTAAATTTTATGCCATTGCTTGAGAATGGGTTTCGAAAAAGTTGTGCTGCTTAGTATTTTTGTGGAAACCATGATACATTTCTTATAGTCTTATTTTATTTTACTTTTTCATTGCTAGTAAAATCTCTTCCAGCAGAAGGTATTTGTATTGTGGGCTCCGACTGTCTTTTAGACAGAGATATCGTACTTTTTATTTATTTATTTATTTTATTTAGTCATTTAGCAGACGCTTTTATCCAAAGCGACTTACAAATGAGGACAACAGAAGCAATCAATTATAGTATTAAAACAACTAAAAACAGATCCAAAACTAAAAGCTAAAACTTTATAAATACTACCTATAAAAAAATAACACTGCCAAATTTACATGCTAAAAAACAACAACTTATTTACACATAGTAAGAAATGTAAGTACTAATTGGCAGTCATGCCAAGATCTGTTTTTGAAACCCCTGTGTCCACAACGGTTTGGCTCCGGAGCATGGTTAGTATCATCCTCACATGAGATATCAGGCACTCATCTTGTTTGTGTCCAAAGTGCTGAGATACGCAGGCTCATTCGGCTGACCTGTATCTTTAAAGTACTGATCCGGCCACTTAGCAAGTAATTGAAAGAAATCAGACTGACAGATAATCTCATTTTAAAAGAAAGTCTTAGACTTTGGGGTCAAATAAATCCCTGTAATGTTAGTCCAGGTCTATCTGCTGCTATCATTCTATACTGCTGGAATGTTAGAAAGACAGTCTGGGCCTGAGGTTTTAAAGGCCGAAAAATAAATAATGTACCTTCCTGACCTGGCGTCTATCCAGTGCTTTGAGCCTAGACACACACACACTTCACTTGTCCTCCTGCTCAAATGCCGACCCTTTGAACCCAAAGGTAAACACTCACCCACTCTTCCACACGAACCCCTCGCGTTCAGATGCACAGAACGCACACAAACATATGCTCACATGCCTTTCCTGTTGGATGTTTGCTTGCTCCTGCTTTCACAGAAAGGTTTACTGTCTCACAATCATTGCGCTGTTTCCCCTGAACAGATGTGGAGATTGTGCAAGAAACTTTGACACTTTGTCAGTCTATATTTCTAAGTAATTATCACAGATTTGTTGACAAGTTGGGTGAGAGGGAGGCATGCTTGAATTTATTACTGTGTGTGATACATCTGGCTGCTATGTTAACAATGTAGCGGGCCAGCATCAAGAAATCAGTGATGGGAACTGCCGACCTCTGATATCAGCCGTGCTCGTGCTAGTCTGGATCATCTTATCCTGGGCTTTGTATATTTAACCCCTCACTGAGCTGGGAACCGGTTTGATTGTGTTTTCCCTCTTGACAGATTTAATTGGCTCCCCGCAGTCTTGATTTAATCATTTTGTACTAAAGCCTCTCGGAGATGTTTCAAGGTCTGTCCAGTTCCTCCCGCTATGAAGACACGGGCCAAAAACTGTCAGCCCTCTCCAAAATAACTTTCTGATGAGGAACTGGAGATTTATAGTTTTCAAACTCCGCAGTTTAGCTTTTTTAAGCAGTTAGCTGTTTTAATTTGCAGTGAAAGTCTTCTTATTTAGAATCACAAAATTTGATTCATTTTAGTAGTTCATGTCATCATTTAAAAGTGTTTTTTTTTTTTTTTTACATTATTAGCATTATTAGCATCATCATGCCTTTTTTGGCAAGCGTGTTTAGTCATTATAGTCGTTCATTAGTCTTCATTAGTTTCATTACCAACATTCTTTAATATTGCCCCCTTTATTTTGTTGCAGTTGTTTTTAGCTTTATAAATTTCATTATTCATTGTTAGCACTATCAATTGACATTTATTGCCTCTTTAAGTAATTTTAATGTACACTAATGTTCAAATGTTTGGGGTCAGATTGGGAAAAATTAATACTTTTATTCAACAAGGAAGCATTGCATTTATGTAACATTTATATTATTGCAAAACGTGCTGAACTTTTAAACTATCTATTTATCAAAGAATCCTGAAAAAAATGTATCAGTTTCCATTAAAATAATGAGCAGCACAACTGTTTTTAACATTGATGATAATAATAATAAATGTTTCTTGAGCTGCAAATTAGCCTATTATAATAATGGTTTCTGAAGGATCATGTGGCACTGAAGACCGGAGTAATGACTCTTAAAACGTCAGTTTAAAATATATTAAAATAAAAAGTAAATTGTAATAATATTTCTCAATATTACTGTTTTACTGTATTTTTGATCAAATAAATGCAGTTTTGTTGAACATAAAAAAACAATAAAAACCTTACTAAACCCAAACTTTTGAATGGTAGTGTTGTTAGTAGCTTGTAGCTTGTAGGTGGCGAAAAGGGGCTGTTAAAATGTATTTGTTTTTGAATCATACAAGAGATTCGTTCAAGAACACTGATTCATCCAGTAATGAAACAAGTACATCTTAAGTGAGTCATTTAATCATTAATTCATAAATTACATGCCTGTTGTAGCCTGTTGAATTTTGTTCATGGTATTCAGCTCCAAATAAATGGTTTGCAAAAAAGAGACACAGGATAAACGTTTGATATCATTATTTAATCACATTGGAATCGAAACTGGGAATCGAAAAGAATCAGAATCGATAAGCAGAATTGGAATCGAAATCGGAATTGATCAAATTCAAACGATACCCAACCCTACAGCTGTCCTATTTTTCATCATTGAATATCCTGTTTCTTTTAGAAGTATGTCACATAATAGGTGAAATGGTTTGCAAATGCTGTTTTG